AACCTGAGATAGGATGTGATGGGCTATAATGTACTTTCTTACAGAACCTGAGATGTACCTTCATAGAGAACCTGAGATAGGATGTGATGGGCTACAATGTATCCTTCTTACAGAACCTGAGATGCACCTTCATAGAGAACCTGAGATAGGATGTGATGGACTATAATGCATACAGTTGATAGACAACTTATCGCGATGTCTTGAAACGGACTGGACGAGTAGCTATATATGACGAAAGTGGCTAATATCTGGAGACCTTGGAGGAGAATTCCTCGTGGACGTTTCGGAGATTTCGCGAAACCTCGAAGTATCCAAAGGATTCCTGTGTGAGGTCTGAGGACCCCTTTAGCCGATCAGTATATATATCAGTATATATATAAGCGCTTGCTTAGCGAGCGACCTCTGTGTTCAACAGGGTGAGTGAGTGAGTGTATTGTTTTCGCCGCCTCAGCAATATGTGGAGATTCGGGTGGCTTACTCCTCCGTGGCGTCCCTTGTAACTGGTGAGGCTCTAGCTCCTTGTGAGGAGGTGGCCTGGGACTTCTTAGCGAAGTGTCTAGAAACCGATCAATATATGGCGTTAGCTTCATACAGGTGTGTAGTTCTTGCTGGTTCTGCATAAGTAGAGCCGAGTAGATCATCCTATCATCTTCAGAAGTCGTGTCACGAAATCTGGTGATAAGAATCTCATTGATAAGTTCTAGATCTATTAATGCCAATAACATCGCCTCTGGCGTTTGAACTGTTATGGCTTTATGGTAGGCTGTGTCCACATACTGTGGCACCACAGCAATCGAGTCGATCGGAGGTAAGGTGATGGCGTCTGCCTCGTCTTCCTTTATCATGTATGTCTCGCCCGAGTTGCCACTCTTGGAAGGTGAAGAGATCTAGGTTGTTTACCATCCAATATAGAAGTATCTCAGCGTCTGAGAAAATGATGCCTCCATCATTTTCTATCCCAGCATCACTGATGAGAGGTTGATGCTCTTCTGATGGTGGACTGTGTATTTCTATCTCTATGTCGGGTGGCCTTCGGGGAGACCTGACTGTAGACTTGTGTGCAGACTTGTGTGGTGACCTGTGAGGCGATCGGCGTGGTGATGCACGAGGAGATCGGTAGCGGTTAGCGGCGGAGATCGTGTTGGTGAACTGCGTCTATGGGTTGACCTTCTCGAGGAGACCTGTGAGGGAGAATGTTGATAGCCATGAAGCTCTCGTGTAGTCAGGTGTCCTTAGCCGAAGGCCTTCGCGAAGCTTCCTCTGCGTCGGTCCTGGGGAGCGGCGATTTGATCAGCGAAGGCTTCCGTGAGGTCTGGCGGTCTGAGTCCGCATCTAAGGATGAAGCGAGGGAAGGTGATGATCTATCCGCCTTAGCGAAGGCCTTCGCGAAGAGCTGTACATCTGGGTCCTTCGTGGAGGTGGTCTGCGACTTCCTTAGCGAAGGTGGCTTCGTCGTGGCTGCACGCTGATGGGGGTGCCTCTGGGGTGTCGTCTGCGTTGGAACCTTTGAAGGCTCGGCCTTGGGCTGGCTGCTTCCCAGTCTGTGGTGGCCCTCCATCATGATCATGATTTGCCGCAACAGTTCATCTGGGATGGTCTGCGGCGAATTAGTCGGTGCCCTCTCTGCGATGTTAGCGGCGGGACCCTCAGGGAAGTCGTCTGGCGTCAGTGTAGAGACATCAGGCTGCATGGCGATCTCTGCTGATGTCACTGTAGCTGTCTCCGGTTAAGCTTCTTGTGGCATGCGTCGGGGATGATGATCAGCTGATCATCGTAGAGGCCAGTTCAGCGGCTGGAACAATCTCGGTTGAGAAAGTCCTAGTAGACTTCGTTGATTTCCCCTCAGAGGTCGGCGCTGCCCTGGGGGTCGCGAAGTCTGCGTTGAGTGTTGGTAGCGGCGGGACCCTCAGGAAGATCATAGAATATCAGCGTTGGTACATCAGGCTGCATGTTGATCTGCGCTGACATCACTGTTGCCGACATCGGTCATTCTTTTGATGTACATCAGGTATGATGATGGCTGATCATCATACAGGCCCAAATCTGCGGCAGGAACAATCTCGGCTGAGAAAGTTCAAGTAGACCGTTGATTTCCCCTCAGAGGTCGGCGTTGAGATGCAGTAGAAAAACTCTAGTCTTCGGCTGCGGCGATGGGATGTCTGGGGAAGCAGGGGCGCTTCTTGGGGCGGCCCCGGACTCGTCCCCGCGCCTCTCCACCACTCTAAGCGGAACACCAGGCGGGGCGGGGTCGACCAACAGCAGTAGACTGGCGAGGGGTTCAGGTGTATCAGTCATGGCTAGACTCTGCATGCAGCGACCTATCTGCTGCGGCGTCTCAAGCGCAAAGTAATTATTTATTAAAGGCAGAAATGGATAAATTAGTACCGCAACTGCAAGCGTGAATAAAATGAACATGGCGCGAGTACAACTAGGGCATATTAAATGCGGATCAGCAGCAGAATAAAAAGCGTAATCTGCAACAGAACAGAATTTTTATCAAGCGTAATCCACTGAAACAAAACGGCGTCCCGTGAATAAACAGTAGAAACACGACTAAATATCAATATATAATTGTTGAAGGATACTAGCTAAACCTCTATAGATGTCTATACGAGGTAACTAACTAAATATAATCAAAGGATATAGTGTGTCGGGAGACACAAGGTGCTCTCCGTCCAGCTCACTGGGCGAAGAAGGAGAGTGAGGCACATGGGTGGAGGTGGCCCTCGTTCAGCTTGTGGAAGGGAGGTAACTTCGTGCTGAGTACTAATTAGTGATTTTACATTGAAGGGAGCTTCAATTAGGGAGATACAAGTGTTCCACTATGTTACAAGAAGAAGAAGACAAGCAAAAGAGCATGAGTCAGGATAAGGAAAAATTTAGAGAACCTGAGATAGGATGTGATGGACTATAATGTACTTTCTTAAAGAACCTGAGATGTACCTTCATAGAGAACCTGAGATAGGATGTGATGGACTACAATGTACTTTCTTACAGAACCTGAGATGTACCTTCATAGAGAACCTGAGATAGGATGTGATGGACTACAATGTACCTTCTTAGAGAACCTGAGATGTACCTTCATAGAGAACCTGAGATAGGATGTGATGGACTATAATGTACTTTCTTACAGAACCTGAGATGTACCTTCATAGAGAACCTGAGATAGGATGTGATGGACTATAATGTAACTTCTTACAGAACGTGAGATGTACCTTCATAGAGAATATGAGATAGGATGTGATGGACTATAATGTACCTTCATACAGAATCTGAGATAGGAGATGTACCTTCATAGAGAACCTGAGATAGGATGTGATGGACTATAATGTAACTTCTTACAGAACCTGAGATGTACCTTCATAGAGAACCTGAGATAGGATGTGATGGACTATAATGTAACTTCTTACAGAACCTGAGAAGTACCTTCATAGAGAACCTGAGATAGGATGTGATGGACTATAATGTATACTTCTTACAGAACCTGAGATGTACCTTCATAGAGAACCTGAGATAGGATGTGATGGGACTATAATGTACTTTCTTACAGAACCTGAGATGTACCTTCATAGAGAACCTGAGATAGGATGTGATGGACTATAATGTAACTTCTTACAGAACCTGAGATTAACCCTTCAGAGAATATGAGACAGGATGTGATGGACTATAATGTACTCTTCTTACAGAATCTGAGATGTACCTTCATAGAGGACCTGAGATAGGATGTGATGGACTATAATGTACCTTCTTACAGAACCTGACATGTACCTTCATAGAAAACCTGAGATAGGATGTGATGGGTTACAATGTACCTTCATAGAGAACCTGAGATGTACCTTCATAGAGAACCTGAGATAGGATGTGATGGGCTACAATGTACCTTCATAGAGAACCTGAGATGTACCTTCTTAGAGAACCTGAGATAGGATGTGATGGGCTACAATGTACCTTCATAGAGAACCTGAGATGTACCTTCATAGAGAACCTGAGATAGGATGTGATGGGTTACAATGTACCTTCATAGAGAACCTGAGATGTACCTTCTTAGAGAACCTGAGGATGTGATGGGCTACATTGTACCTTCTTAGAGAACCTGAGATGTACCTTCAGGGCTCCAGATAAGGGCCAGATCGACGTATGTATGGATAAAAAAATATGCACGATATGGTGGGAAATAATTTCTGAAAACGTAGCAGAATCGCACCACAGCAATGGTGTAATGGTCTTAGAATCATTTACAGGCGTATTTATATGAAAGAGTATTGTTTTATTGTTTATTGACCTGTTTACACAAGAGTAGCAATGTTGTGGTGCATATACCAAATGAAACACAAGAATACTGATTACTAATTTCCATTCAGTACTCTAAATGTACTCTTAAAGGTTTTTCCAGTACTCCTATATTGAAAAAATAAGGAGCATGCATTATCTCCTGATGTTGAAAAATAGGATCTGGAGCCAATGTACCTTCATAGAGAACCTGAGATGTACCTTCTTAGAGAACCTGAGATAGGATGTGATGGGCTACAATGTACCTTCATAGAGAACCTGAGACAGGATGTGATGGACTATTATGTACCTTCTTACAAAACCTGAGATAGGATGTGATGGCTACAATGTACCTTCTTAGAGAACCTGAGATAGGATGTGATGGACTACAATGTACCTTCTTAGAGAACCTGAGATGTACCTTCATAGAGAACCTGAGATAGGATGTGATGGACTACAATGTACCTTCTTAGAGAACCTGAGATGTACCTTCATAGAGAACCTGAGATAGGATGTGATAGACTACAATGTACCTTCTTAGAGAACCTGAGATGTACCTTCATAGAGAACCTGAGATAGGATGTGATGGCTACATTGTACCTTCTTAGAGAACCTGAGATAGGATGTGATGGCTACATTGTACCTTCTTAGAGAACCTGAGACAGGATGTGATGGACTACAATGTACCTTCTTAGAGAACCTGAGATAGGATGTGATGGGCTACAATGTACCTTCTTAGAGAACCTGAGATAGGATGTGATGGGCTTGCTGGGAGGACGGGGAGCTACAAGCATGTGAGGACCAGCCTGAAACAGAAAAGATAATGTTATATCTAACAGTGCACTACAAATATGAGACAGTATGATAAATGCAATGCATTATTTAAAATGATAATAACCAAAATGACTGCCTTGGGGCTTTTAATTCATATAAAGCATGTGGGACATTCTGATTTCAATAGACATCTCTGGAATTTTCTTCTGCATTTATCTTTTTATCTCTCTAATCAGAAATTTACCTTGAATTACAAAGTAAGTGCCCTTAGCAGGCAAAGTAAACAAAAATCTTTACATAGTTTTCTGTTCTCAAATTCCAAGGAATTGTAACATGGTATCTAGGGCAATGATGTGAAACAAAGCCTCTTCCTCTATATTGGTCCTGTTATAAATGAAATACAAGGTAACTCTACCAAGTCTTGACTTTTAATGCAATGATACTAATGTGCAAGGGGAATATTGTTTTATTACGTTTTCTGCTGTGAACTACTAGCTGAGATATCAGCCTCTGAGCAAGTCTAGATAAACTGCTACTGATATCAACTTCAAACGAAAAAATGTTGAGTTTGAAGTGATATTTACATTAGGACATTTTCATATTGATAAAATATCCAGTTAGATCAGATTATTTCATCTCCAATGCCCAGAGCTGACTGCAGTTGATAAACAGTATCACAATCATCTGACACCAGTCATGATAAACATATCACCTGACGGTGAATTTCCATGAGACCAAAGTAAGTGAACAAAAGCATCTCTAAAAGGAAGACTGTCTAAAATAAACATGGGAAGATGATGAAATGCATGCACACTAAGCATATCTGTTGAGTGAAGGAAGCCAACGTGAGAAGGTCCGACACCTGCCACTACTCGAGGTGTGACACAACAATGTAAGCTCCACCTTGCAGCAGCTAATCTGCTGGTAGACAGAGGAATTTACTCAAGATATGGATATGAGGAGAATCATTATGGAAAAAACTCTTCATCATAAAAGCTAACAGTCTCCAAACCTCACTTGATTAGCCTGATTTAATCTTTTTCTGAACTTAAAGTAAAACCTAAATTGAAAATATGATTCCAGCATGTCATAAACAAATAAAAGATCAAATTTCTTTTACAAACCCAGCATACGGTTGAAATACTGAAAATGACATCACACTTTTCTGAGTTGTGAACAAAGCATTTACTGCATCAGGTCATGTATGATGACTGAGTAAATACAGCCAACGTGACGGGACTACAACAGCCATCACCAGAGCCAATATCTTCAGGGATCCACATTCACCATGAATAATGCAGTAACTTAGTCATGCCTTAAAATAATATTTGCACAAGGCCATGTTTGCCTTGAAAAATATTGAATAATGTAAGCAGGCAAATGAAGAGATCTGACATTCCCACGAATGGAATGTCAACACAATGTCCTTCTTGACGTCTGAGAGTAACGTGCCGATACACCGTTATTCAGAAAATATTAAGTCAGCATTTTCAAAATTGATTTTAAAATTTACTTTCAAACAAATGTAATTATAATATTCACACAAATGGGGATAAACACACAGAGTAAGAATAGCGTTAGCATGATCAAAACATTACATTTCTTCACTGAAAACACAACTGAATATTCCACATTTCTGGTACACCAGTGTACAGAAGCCCATTTTAAAGCTGAAAGTGTTAACATGTTCGTGTTGACCCAGGAGGCCTAGTCTAATTTTATACACACAAGATTTCTAAATGAACTTTCTAATAACATATGACACATTCACTGTCTTAAACCAAATATATTCTTGTAACACATGGCCTCTACGTCATTAATCCTGACCAAATCAGCCCTATGTTTGTTCTAGCGTGGAAACCAAAAATGAGTAAAGGATCCAGTGACCTGGACTTGAACCATGTGACAGGTGTTCATAAAACTGAGTACCTTTGGAAATTTTGAAAGTTGAGTTCCCTACAATAACAACCCAAAGGTTCATGTCATGGTTTGAAGGGTGACTTCCCAGAGCCCTTGTCATATATCTATAGAAGTTATATAACAGGAAGTACAAGACAAACCCAGTCCTAGGAAACATGCATGCCAGTTATCATGGTTGGACCATCTTGTGACTGAAAAAATTCTACCATTTACCTGCTGTTGGACTTGAATTGAACTTGGCATTGATAAACGTCTCACTGGAATGAAATGAATCAGTGATGAAATATTGAGCTGTGTGAATATAGTGAGAAGGGATGTCTGTCAGTATCTAGAGGCCAACACGTCCCTGTGATAGGAAACCAAACCTCCAGCTATGTAAGTATAATGAGCATGGATGTATCTATGGGTTCTAAAGGCCAATAGATGGTAGAAAAACCTCCAGCTATTATTATTTTCTGATAACAGAACTAATAAACACAAAAAAGGCTTCATACTTATTTCATGACTGCTGTGAGCATGATCAATACAATAATAAAATACTTCTGAATTTCAGAAAATAAGGACAGTATATATGTGTGAATACAGTCTGTCTCTGGACACAGAAACGCATTATTTTCCCTCCTGCCCAGCCCTCTCTGCAATGCTAAAGCCCCAATTGAAGCAAGCCTAGATTTCCTCAGGCCTCAACTCACTGGGGCTTCCTTTTTTAAATTTAAATTTAAATGAATCTATTTGTTTCTATCAATATTATATAGTTTCTAAGACTGACTGACTGATTGACTGAGTTTGGTTTTACGCCGCTTTTAGCAATATTCCAGCAACATCACGGCGAGGGACACCAGAAATGGGCTTCACACATTGTACCCATGTGGTGATTCGAACCCGGGTCTTCGGCGTGACGAGCCAACGCTTTAACCATTAGGCTACCCCACCGCCCCTAGTTTCCAAGACAAAGCATTAGACCAGTGTGAATGAACAGTGTCCAAGCCAAGCAATATAGTGAGTGTGAATGCCACTCTGAACACGTTTAACACACAATGTACAGTATTCAGTTACATCATGTGATGTCACCTTTATATGTGAAGAAAGCTCCAAGTGATGCAAATTGTACAAATTTACCACATAAGTGAAACACAAAAACACAGATATGGTTCTCACAGGCCAATAAACTTTATAAAGGCAAATCTATGATTCAAACATTTGGATTATACGAATTTCATGAACTAATCTTTTTACTGGACCAAAAATACATTTGCTAAATCTTGGCTTTTGTCTTGTGGCTAAGTCACAGCTTGTCTTTGTCTACACTGTACTCAGAAACACTCGCTTAGACTCAAAGTAGTTCCTTCATTCTTCACAATAACAAAAGTGCAATACTGACAAACTTCACGGATAACAACTTCTTTTATTTCATGAGTGACAGCTTGCCAGAAACAGTACAAGAATCTGTATCGAAACATCGCACTCACAAAATAAAAGAAGTTTTTATCCATAACATTTGTCAATATTGTACTTTCCAACTTTTAACAACAAAAGTAATAATCTGCTCACATAGAGCTGAGTTCTAGCTAATGCTGCCGACAGAGGCTTTACATAGAAGCATTTACAGAAGCTTGAAAGTGGTGTTCTTTGCAAAAGGCCTTATTACATGATGCTGACTTTAAAGAGATGGGGAGTGTGTTCCAGAGTACAGAGCACAGGTTCTGGACATTGAAACTGTAATTACATCCAATAAGAAGTCTTAAACTGACTGAGTATGGTTTTAGCAATATTCCAGCAATATCACGGCAGGAGACACCAGAAATGGGCTTCACACATTGTACCTTTGTTGGGAATTGACCCCAGGCCTTTGGCATACGAGTGAACGCTTTAACCACTAGGCTACCTGACCACCCCAGAAGTCTTACAGATCAGTACGCTAGATCAACTGGCATGACACTTTAATAAAGAAGAGAAACAACAAACAAGTCAAGTGACCTGAAAAAACAGAACCATTATGTGGATACAAAAACAAAAATTAGAAATTAACATTCCGGTAGGCATGCTGGTACACTTTTTTTTTAGTAGTTAAACATTCAGTTTTATCCAACCCATCAGTTGTTTCCAGTCATTACCCTCAATAAAATGTTCATTATGGATAATATGTTCTGGCAACACTGAAAGGAACTGGAAAATCATTATGTCAAACTGCCAATGTAGAACGATGAAGGACAATGAGCCAGAGCTGAGACCATACCACAGTACAACCATAGACTGACATCGGTTTTACTCAAAACAATCGTTGCTTACTGTATATGACCGTCTATAAGGGGGGTAATTATTTTAACAAAAGGTAATGAGGACCCCAGGGAATATCTCTCTTTAAAAAACTACAAGTAATCTAGACTTTCCAACTGTTATAGACTTTGTTTCAGGGTCTGTATCACAGCATAGTTTGATCGTTTTAAAAGAGAGTTCTTGTTCTGAATAAAATGGATATATGAAAAGACTAGCATGCCTCTGTAACAGATGAGCTAAAAATGCTGTAATATTCACAGTTTTAATGTGTTTCATACAGTATATTACAGTTAATAAGTGTTTTCAGGCATTATCTTGGTGTAGTTCTCATAATTTATACATACATTCATGATGACAAAATACAAAACACACGAGAAGAAAGAATTTGTAAAGTATGCAGAACATGAATACACAGTATCCTACTTCCTTGTTTCTAGGGTTTATGCAGATCTGCCTCAAATATATCTTACCAAAGAAATATTTTGTACATCCCACTTCATAGAAATATGACATGCTCATGACTACAGAACACCTGGTACAATGTTGAACAGTGTTAGCAGGTAATTCAAAGACTAAGTTGACTGTCCTGGCACTTAAGCAGTATCGGCTAACTTTCATGGCTGAAAGCCAACTGTGGTATATACGGTGGACCACACACTACAACAAGTTATGCTTGTTTGCCAAGCCTAGGCATCACACTTTTTTGCCAAATGATGCTGGTGATGTTGATGACGCTGATGATGATGACAGATTAATGATGACCAACACTACATCATGTCCAAAACGAAATGTTGCAGCCACACAATTTTGATTCCTTTCGATGAAAGGTTGGGCACCTTATCCACATCACCAAAGTATATAACCTGTAGGGCTGGGTATTGCAGAGAATTTTCATATTGCAATATATTGCGATGCGAAAGCATATATTGCGATATGTATTGCAATATATTGCAGGAAGTTGCTTTTTAACAAAAAAATACTTATAATCGAGTTAATCGATTTAAAAAGCAAAAACACAACAAAATCACCATGCTTGATTAAGCTTTAATAAAAACTTTTAATCATGACAAAATAAAAATGTACATAATATTTGGCACAAATAAAAAAAGGAAAGGAACAATTTATAAAACGGAAATATCCGAAGATTTCCGAGTGTTACAAAGTCTTTTCGAATGCATGTCAAAATACCGTTTTTTAATCAGCGTATCGCAATACGTATCGTTTTCATGTCTGAACCGGTATATACCGGTATATACCGGTAAACCGGTTATATTGCGCAGCCCTAATAACCTGGTTACAATATGGCAAGGTAAGAAGATCATGTATCATATGACTCAACACCATACCACATACTACCCCATCAATAGAAGTCATGTCCCATAGTGGGAAACTGAGGCTTGCTTCACTCAAGTTTAACATGAATGTGCTCAGTCCCCTGCGGGTGACCATTGTGGTGGCCATGCAATCTGAGTCCCATGATACGATTCAAACTGTGGACCTTCTGATCAAAGGTTGGGCACCTTCTTCACAAGACCGAAGAGGTTAACACATTCAAAAGATGACAAGTTAAGGATATCATGTGTGGAATGACTCCTACAAACACAATACCACCACATCACCAGTCATCACCAACCTTGTCTATCTAGCTAATTATCATCACTGTATTTCTACTGTACTGAAACAATAAAGATATCACGAAATACAAATCAAGATAAATCCTGTCAAAATTCACCACAAAGTCAGGCATTCTTTAACTTCAGATTAACAAAGATGGCTGACATGTGCAAAGATCTAGTGAGACAAGGATGTCCAAGTAGCTATCATACTGTATGGAATATATCACTCAACATGTACAACAGGCAGCTTTTGTTATGTTGCAATGATAGCTGACTCAGTGCATAACTTCTGTCCTGACTGCTCTACATCATAGCCTTGCATAACTGCGCATAATTTACTCTGTGTTACTATGGTTACTTGAAACTAAATACTCATGTAAGAATTATTTTAACTTCTTATTTTTGGTCCTTTTGGACTTTCCTTGGTCTCATACCTCTCAAAAATATGAAACAGATTAGATTACAGTTTTGTCTATTAAGCAATAAACTCTTGTTCATGTTTTAAAGCAAAAACCATTACGCTACACACTTATGATTGTGCGTCACCTTTTTTGCATCATTTTACCTCTTCAGATAACTACTCAGAGCCACTTTTCCTATCAGAGAACAAATTAGAATGTGTAACTGGACTCTCAGATGGTCCTATTCAAAGCCCTCTTCACACAGTTGAAGCTAAATGATGCTTAGAAACCTTCCTTAGAACTAGTTTAAAGAATCCAATTTTAGCTGATACCTGTTCTTTCCTGTAACAGTGTTTGAGAAGCTCAAAGGGCATAGCAGCACCAAAGCTAAAAATATGTACAATATCTAACCTGCTTTTGCACATGCTATAATTCAATTCAAATATGTTCAGCAACACACATGCCTGAATTTCCTGGCAATCTGCGCTGGGACGACTTCATGGACTTGGATACCAATACAATCCAGGTTGAAATTGGTCTTGAGAAAACCATGCTTGTTGTGAGATGAAAACTAAGGTCATGCTAGTTAGTGCATGTGATCCTAACACATTAATGCTCATAGCGTCAATTTCTAGATTATCCCATCCAGACATTACTATTTACACACCGCCATCATATAGCTTGAATATTGCTTAGTGTTGTGTTGAACAATAAACAGTCAAAGAATCAAGTGGTCAGGCACCCGGACAAACATGTGGATCATTATATGTGGCAATGTTATTCATTGTTTAACAATGCTCCAAGTGTAATACATTGTGTGGACAGTCAGTAAAGGCCATTGGTGTGCTATAATTAGACTTGTGCTACATTTACACCGAGTTCTGGAAGGTACTACAACCCTGTGAGTCTTCTGTTATATTCTGACCCAGGGTGTTCTGGAGGTACATAAGGGGAGTTAACTCTTGCCACTTTACATCATTCTTACCCTCTATACTCTGCCTACCCCCATTTTTTTAAACTTCATTATTGATGTGGTGAGGTTAATATAACCACCTCTGTCGATACTGCTATAATATTTGACCGGGGAAGGTCCGGGTTAGAATATTGGCCTTCAGTAACCCATGCTTGTCGTAAGAGGCGACTAACAGGATCGGGTGGTCAGGCTCGCTGACTTGGTTGACACATGTCATTGGTTCCCAATTGCGCAGATCTATGCTTATGTTGTTGATCACTGGATTGTCTGGTCCAGACTTGATTATTTACCGACGGCTGCCATATAGCTGGAATATTGCTGAGGTAGGCTTAAAACTAAACTCACTCACTCACTCACTGAAGTATTTAGAATTAGTACTGCCATTGTATTTTGTAATCCATTGTAATATCTTGTGGTATTGATTTAATTAATTTGTAAAAGTATTATAATTTTTGAATACAGCTATTAATGTTATCAAATTACCTTGTTGTTTCTTCGTTTCAAACGAACAAACTGATTCACAGTTAACTATGTGTTAACTAAGGTTGTAACTCTTTTGGCATAGAACTTCTTATGAATGTGGAAAGGATTTTGTCACTTCTAGTTATAAACGTTTCATGTGAATAGGATTGAGAAAATGTGGTTACCTCATTCAGACCGAGTATACAGACTTTCAGGCAACTACTCTTCGTTGTAAATCCGTATTGCAGAGCACAAGGCAGGGAAACAAAAAGTACAGTCAGGCCACGTTAGTCCGGTCCGCGATAATCCGATGCTCGCGTCATCCGAACAGACGCAAATTGTAACCAAACTTGTTTACTATATAAAGACATCAATTGTTAATTCATTAATCCGATGCTTCAGTCTCCGACTCCAAACATCAATTATCGGTAATGGATTAGCTAATTGTACTTGTTTTTTGCTTCATTACATCGGATGTACATACGGCGGCCATATTGCCTAACTAGCGATGGTAACTATTGGTGTAAACTTCAATGGCAATTAATACATTGCGAGTTGAACAAGTCATGAGTTTGTGATTTTAATCATTAACAGGATTACCGTCGCTTTGTGTGTCAACATAACTGGCTCAGTAAAGATCAAACCCTTTGTCATCGCCAAATCCAGACGTCCCAGGTGTTCAGGTAAAGACTTCAATCCAGAAAAGTATGTTTGATATCGCTTTAACACCAAGGAATGGATGACATGGGAGATGTTTTCTGATTGGCTGAGATCATTTGATAGACAGATGCGGTCACACGGTCATCATGTGGTCATCATGTGATCCTACTTGTTGATCCTACTTGTGATCCTACAGTTAAACTGACCAATGAGATTCATCAAAACAGCCTGGTCTGAAGTTACTGCCTCAACAATTCAGAACTGTTGTCACTATGTCAACATCATCCCCACTCTAGCTGACGTTGCTGTTGTCGACGAAGATGACATGGTGTTATCAGAACTATGCAAGTTACTCCAGCTCTTCCTGACAGAAAACGGCGATGTGGAGAATGTAGAAAATTACCTTGGCACTAATGATGATGAAGGTGTACTGGACCCAGTTGTATCAAACTTTAATGAAGCATTAACGTGCCATTCAACATTCATTAACTAATGTATCATTAAATTCTGTTTTACTAACGTTTTAATGATGCTCTGTTGTCATTAGTGCGTCATTAACTTAATGAAGGTCCTGGGGTATCATTAGAGCGTCATTAAACTTCCTGGAAAAGTGAACACTGCGCCAGAATTTCGTTTGCGCCGCACTGGATCTACATACAGCTATAAAATTACACAGAAATGTAGAGTATTAAATGTCGCATCGCATGGTATAAACTCAGTTTGAAAAGTAGACACTGCTGAATGTTACTCCTAATTTTGTTATGTATTAAAAACAGTAAATTTCTCTGCTTTAAAAGTACTGTGCTACTATATTTTCAATTTGGCATCTTTACGGAAAGTGTGGCGAACAAAATTCTGCCTGATAACTGAATGACATAGGTATGTGTTAAATTAGTTTGTGTGCTTATGTATAGCGTTATACACTCAATCTTAAAAGTGACTCGCAATATGTGTTGAAAATGGATTTTCCCCTATGGCGTCAAATGGCTACATAATGGTCTGCAGCTTATAAAGATGAGGGGGCCTCACTCCGGTATGCTTAATACTAAGTCATTGTAACTCAGATCACTTGGCGAGAATTTGCTGTGAATAAGGACACAATATTTTCGTGATGTTTTGTTCACGGAATTATCGAAAACAATGATACTCAAAACATTTGTGACAAGCGCGCACCTGGCCAATGATTATCGCCATTGTTTTGTCTATAACACAACATAAACAAATTCAATGAACAAGACATATCCTTTAAAAACGTGTGCATATATACATTTCATGAAATAAATAAATCATTTATATTTATTATGTCAGTTTTACTTAGGTTTAAAATACTAAATGTTGATGATGAAATTAGTTTCATGAAACCATATGTGAACGATACGCAAAGTATACATTAATAATACAAGTGTAATCTGCAGGACAGTGTGATTGTGTTTACTCTTATTCAACCGACCTTCACCTCAAAGAAATTGCCACATATGTCCAACAATGTTGATGTATGACATCACTACCGATGACCGATTTCTCATGAAATGGCGGCTTCGTGGATATGGGTGCCCACGATTTTACAGGGAACCTTTGACCATAAATGTATGATGTAAGTAATCGGAAACATTCTGACTATCATGCGTATGGTTGTTTGTTTCATTGTTTTCATTGAAAATGTCAGAAATGCCGATAATTGCCTATGGTTTCTCCATGATTTTGCGTCTTGCATGGCGTCCACGCTGCACAGAACTTTCGTGTGAATATATCAATTTCAGTATTGTATCTGTTTTAAGTTTTCTAGTTCTTGCTCACGATACTCTTTCCGTGCATATTCTAAAAATATTGAGCTCATGCATGCTACGAATAGACGAACTGATGTCTAAAAATTGAGAAAATGCTGCACAGTATAAAATCTGATTTTTGCTTTGATTATATTTCTAGCAAGTGCTGTGTAATGAGCACAACACCCCGTTTTCACACCCAGTATGTTTCGTTTTTTCTTAGACACTTGGTTATAGTGACAAAGACCATTTGGAATTTGATTCTAAAATCTATGAGGAATTCAGCGATGCATTTGTCTGAATATTTAACTGAATATGAAATATACATGATGTAATAGGCATATTATGACTGGCCTTAGCGAAACTTGATTTTGTAAACACCATCCAATATGGCGGAAAGCTCACTTTGGCGTTAGTGTTCATGTATATTCCAAAACATCCCAACCGATTCTAGGTTTATCGGCAACGTTTCAGAATTATTTAGACGTGTTTCTTCACAGCAATCGAAATGTTTGTTTTTGTTCCGAGGTTTAGCCCTATAGATGCCATTTTGACAGACGACCGAGATTAACACTTACATGTTTACAGCGCGGAATTGTGGGAAAAAATTAGGGGAATCCCTGAATTTAATGAAAATATTTACATTAGGACGTCATTAGATAATGATACGCTAATAAGTGTTTGATACAACCGTTTTTAATGATGCCATTAACTAATGATGAATTAAGGATTTAATATATCATTAGGGTTTATTGTTGACATTAGTTAATGAAGCAATGATACAACCGGATCCTGGACTTGTTTCAGCAAACTGAACGTTTCACTATCGCAGCCTGACTGCACCATCTTATATCATAGCTTAGTAATAGTATGAAACTACCAGGCTGTACAGATACATTAACCATTTCGAAAATGTGGTTGGAACTACAGGACTTTTACGCTGCATTTTCTGACTTCCATCACCTGTTTTCCAGATCATCTAAGTTATTTCAAGAAGCTAACATTATGCCAGTGACAATGATCATGGCTTCTTGCCCCTTACTTGACCTCTGTTGAGTGACATCCAAGTCACTTGGAGCATCATTCCATAAGGTCAAAGGCTGCAGAATGACTCAGAAAATATACAATGCTGCCAAATTGTTTAGACTGGCTCAGTGATTACCTGGCAGGCTTATCCATTTAACACAGATCACTGACAAAAGACACAGAAAGGCCAATTACCTGTCAGACTTATGATATACATGATAGGTAGGTGTGGCATACCCAATGTCAAACCTGGCTCACCATGCATACTACTCAAAAGACCTATAGCACAGATCATTTTGTCATATTTCGTTGGTTATTCTGTCATGGCATGATTGGCTAACTACAGCAAAACGGAAACCAAAGTGCTATTTCCCCTAATGAAACATAACCAGGTTATTTCAGTTATCATTTTAATACAAACATTTTATGGATGTTATAATTCAGATATTCTGATTATATCTTGCGTTGCTGAAGCCAAGGTTGTTTATTCCACTTTTACTCCATGCTTGACTCATAGCATTATCCTAGCACAATGTGTGACTGTCATAATGTCCCATGGTTGTACTACATACAGTACTTGTTTGCCTTGCCCAAACACCATCACTTTCAAGGCATGACCACTGTGGTATGTATGGTGGACCATACAACAAACAGTACTGGTTTGCCAAACCATTACACCATCACATGTATGACCACTGCGGTAAGTATGGTGGACTAGCTGACTGCTAGTTGCCATGGTCACTGACCAATTCATCATTCACACTTTTTACGGTTAACAGTATTAAGTATATTACGAAAAGTAATCTGTAACTACATCATCAACAATACCTGCATTAGGTTCACACTGAGTTAGAATGTAGACTGTTTGTTCCACAACCATGACACCCGCCGTGCTTGGAGGGGGACATAGTGGAAACTGACTTGTCCGTGATCACTGGATAATGTTGCACACTTGTTGATCTGTTGTAACTGAAAGCAGATTCAAAGTTGAATCATGGTGTGGAGGAAATGAGTTTCAAATTAATTGAGAGAAGAAATGGATAAAACAAGGCTCAAATCTGAGTGAATTAATTGAGAGAAGAAATGGATAAAACAAGGCTCAAATCTGAGTGAATGGATGAAGCAAGGCTCAAATCTGAGTGAATGGATGAAGCAAGGCTCAAATCTGAGTGAATGGATGAAGCAAGGTTCAAATCTGAGTGAATGGATAAAACAAGGCTCAAATCTGAGTGAATGGATGAAGCAAGGTTCAAATCTGAGTGAATGGATGAAGCAAGGTTCAAATCTGAGTGAATGGATGAAGCAAAGTTCAAATCTGAGTGAATGGATAAAACAAGGCTCAAATCTGAGTGAATGGATGAAGCAAGGCTCAAATCTGAGTGAATGACTACTGAGACTATCCGACTGTTCTGAGGACAAAACACAACCGATGATGGCAGTCCTCATTGACTATGAGCATTTATGTCAGAGCTGTAAGTTTGAACCAGTTCTCAATGTTTCAATTTTTCTACAAAACAAAACTGTATAAAACTGATAAAAATGAAAACATAGCAAGCATTGTTCACTTGTTTAAGCAGCACTAGGTCACACTCAGAGAACTGCATCAAAACACTCCCATACTGTCCTCATTTCTATACTATCGCCCTTAAAAAGTATTCTAAGTATGTTTTAAAAACTTGTGATCAATACCAGTTTGTTTTTTTATTATTTCATTCAAACCACAATGCATCTTAACTTATTAACTCCATTTTCCTTCTTTCCTAAGATCACTACCTAACATCCACAAGATGTTGAAGGTACTGTGTTGAACATAAACATCACATTCCTAACAGATAAATGTCACTGTGACCAACAAACACTGCCATGCTGAGCAAAACCAGATTAGACTCTATAACATGGTGTAAGGACAAATATAAATAACCATTAGTGTGTGCAAAAACAAAACTAATCTTAAAAAACAATTCACAGGAACACATTTGGTAGCCAGTCATCATACAAAGAGAGCCAGTCAGAAAGTTGGCTATATTCTATGAAACAGCTCGGTTGGCATCTTCGGTGTGGAAGATACTCGTTTGTAAAGGTTCCTCATGGTAGGTTATGTGATGACTGTCAGGTTTGGGATAATAATGTATAACATTGTTAGTCAGAACTATTTTAAATGACACTGTTCAGGAATACTCAACAGATAAAATGGATTATAACTTTAAAAACACTGAAAATATTAAACTTACAATTTCCAACTCCTTATTTCTAGAAACATTATTAATGAAAATCCGAGGAAAGACCATATCTTTTTCATCCTACATAAAGAAAACAAAGGTAAAACATACAGAAGAACTAGAATTAAAAATAAAACAGGTCGAAGATACTATTCGAAAAAACTTCCAAAACATTAATGAAGAACTTTTGAATGAACTAACAAAATATAAGAAAGAAATGGAAGAAATTAAAAGTGAGGAAATGAAAGGAATACAAATCCGAAACCGAATTCTTTGGTATGAAGAAGGAGAAAACCTTCAAAATATTTCTGCCATCTAGAAAATAGGAATTTCTCAAAAAAATCAATTAATAAGATAATAACTAATGATAAGAACGAAATCACTGACAGCAAATCAATACTGAATGAAGTAAAACTATTTTATAAAATTCTCTATGCTTCTCAGGAACAATATAAGGAAGAAGACTGCTTAAAAAGGATATTCAAACTCCAACTTTAAACAAAACGCTAAGAGATTATCTTGAAAGAGAAATCAGTTTGGATGAAATTAGCAGTGCTGGTTACAGGATGAAGAATAATAAAAGCCCAGGGATTGATGGATTTCCTATTGATTTCTTTAAATTTTTGGAAAGAATTAAAAATTTGGATCTATAGATTTATAAAAGAAGTATCAACAAAAAAATGAAATGTCTTTGAATATGAAAAGGGGTGTTATCACCTGTATTACAAAACCCCAAAAGATAGAACATTACTTAAAAATTGGAGGCCAATCACTTTACTTAATGCTATTTATAAAATTATCAGCTCCTGCATTGCACATAGATTAAAACTACTTTAGATGAACTTATTCACTCTAACCAAACTGGTTTTATACCGGGTAGGACTATTAGTGAAAACACAAGATTGTTATATGATATAATGTTTGAAACAAAGAAACAAAACATTCCTGGTTTGCTGATTCTGATTGACTTTGAAAAGCGTTTGACACTGTTTCAAAAGATTTTATCAACCTGGTTTTACATAAACTTGAATTTGGCCCTGAAATGATAAGATGGATAAATATATTAACCTATGAAACAACATCTTGTGTTATCCAACATGGTAATCTATCCGAGTTCTTTGCAAATGAAAGGGGATGTAGACAGGGAGACCCACTATCCCCATATCTTTTCCTTTTTGTGGCTGAGATTCTCGGTTGCATGATAAGAAATAATGAAAACATCAAAGGTATTGTCATCAATGATAATGAATATAAACTGGATCAATATGCCGATGATACTGAACTATTTCTTGATGGAACTGAAGAGAGTTTGTACTCTGCTATTGACACAATTAATAAGTTTTACAAAATGTCAGGCTTGAAAATTAATTTAGACAAATCAAAAGCAATCTGGATTGGATCCAAAGCTAAATCTATGGATAAAATATGTAATGATCTGAAAATTGAATGGGTAATTGGTGAATTTGATGTGCTAGGTATTAAATTTACACCAGATCTTAAAGACTTATGGGTAATCAACACAAGAAAGAGACTGGAGGGAATTAATAGACTCTTAGCATCTTGGAGAAAAAGAAATTTAACACTTATTGGTAAAATAACAGTAATAAAAACTCTAGCAATCTCCAAATTGGTCCATATTTTCAACTCCTTGCCAAACCCACCAGCAGAATTTATCACGTCCCTTGACAAAATGTTTTTTAAATTTATTTGGAATGACAAGAATGATAAAATAAAAGGAATGTAATTAAAACAATTATGAAGAAGGAGGTTTGAGAATGATTGATGCAAAAACATTTATAGATGCTTTGAAATTATCTACTTTAAGACAGTATTTCAAAAGAGGTGATAAGAATAATCCATGCAATATACCTTTTAAAGACATATTTAATTTTGGAGCAAATTCTGAAACTTACTTTAAGATTGAAAATCCTTTTTGGCGTGATGTGCTAAAAGCATGGCAACTATTCCACAAAAAACATTATATTGACCCTAATAACATTAATGAAATTCTATCCCAACCATTATGGTTTAATCATAATTTTAAAAATCCATTAAACTTCATAAAGAACTGGGCAGATAAAGGGATTATAAATATTAGGGATATGTGTGATGAAACTGGATTATTGTCAATAGAATCTTTAAAAGAATTATATGGTATCAAAGGCACTTTTTTAGATTATGAATATTTACTACATGTATTACCTGACTCTTGGAAAAATACTCTTAACCACTGTCATTTAATACCAGTCAGGGATTTAAATATTAACCAATGTCAGATATATCTAGTAAAAAACATCTAAAGGCTGCAGGAAGTTTTATGATAAACTTATTTCCAATGATATACACCCAAATATGTGTAATAAATGGCAGCTGCTATTTCCTGAAATAGACTTTGATTGGAAAAATATATTTACAGCATACAGAAAAGGATTGCAAGACACAAAACTTTTAGATTTTCAATATAGATTTCTACAAAGAGTTATTTATACAAAAAGAGAATTGCTTAAGATGAAAAAGGTTGATAGCAGTCTATGTTGTTTCTGCAATGATCTAAATGAGAGTGTTTGTCATGTGTACTGGGAATGTCAGGAGACACAAACTTTTTGGAAAAACCTGCAAATTTGGCTTAACAATTTATACCCTCATCCACTGCTATTATCAAAACATATGGTTTGGTTTGGTACTCTACATCATAATATATTACTAAATCACATCATCATTGCAGCAAAAAAAGACACATTTACGTATGCAGTATTAAAAATACGCATCCAAACATAACTGTATTTATAAAAACTTTGAAAGAAATATTCTTTGTGGAAAACCATATATGCAAAAGAAATAATAAAATAGAAGATTTCAATCATAAATGGGGTCTTGTCTTCCCAGTACTTTGATGAATTTTAAATGTACCCAATTTACCTGAGGTCATATTTCTCTTTTATTGACTTATAAATGTGTATTAACATGATACTGATACCTGTACATCATCCATCTGTCTGTACATCACTGTTCTATATATCATGACATTGTAATCCTGGGAACCAATAAAAAAATAAAAATAAAAAAAATGTATAACATTGAGTGCAAATGCTTATACATCTTGGGGGATCTAACACTATTGTTGTGATTCTTTAAAATGTTGCTAAACATTGAAAGTGGACAAAATATGGGAAATCTGGGATTTCTGACAGTATTCTTACTGAACTCCAGGATTTTTAGATCTTGACTACCTTCATGGTTTATCAACTAAATGGAAGTCTCACAAAAACAAAAGTATGATATCACCAGAGACTGATAAATCTTTCTAACCCATCAACTTTGTGTTTCCAATAGTTTATCTATATGTTAATTTCACTGTTGTCCCCATCCTCATCCAGATTTCTATTACTTCCACTTTACAATTAACAGTACAAGGGATGCCAATCATTGCTGAATCTATATAAGGTATTTTGGAATTATGGGGATGAGGAACTGCTCTTGTGGGGAATAGCGTGCATGGTAGGAATGAACATATACCATAAAGCTAATTGCAGTACAAAATTTGGTCAAACGTGTACATTACATTACATTACATACTAACATTTCTATAGCGCCGATATCCAGCTCAGCTCAGCTGCTCAAAGGCACTTAGTTTTTCCCTCGTTCACTGGATGTCAATCTCAACAGCACACCGTATTGTCAATCTCAACTCCCTGGGGAGCATACAACTCTTGCAGACGCTAGGCGCACCGAGTTATTGCGGCATTCCCA